TTCCCCAGTTCAGGGCAGAGGTGAAGGAGGGAAAGCAAAGCAGGATCTCCTTCAAATCAAAGCCTTTTGATGCTGGGATTGCCTAACTCTGTCTTCACACATCAGGGCTTAAGGCTGATGGTGATTTACTCACACTTCCTAGTTAATAATTAGACATTGGGAGACACCATATATCACTCCTAATGGAATATATGGGGTCTGATGAGAGTTTTCTGTTTTGGCTAATAAATTTGAAGCAGAATCGCCAGGCTTAATGAAATATTACCATTTGGGAAGTGCTTTAAGTCTTGTGCTGGGAAAACAGTGTTGCTTTATTCAGTAAATGAATTTATCATTCACTCTGTGTCCCAGGCTCTGGCTGGCTCTGGAGCAGGGGCTGGATGCAGGACTCTGAACCAGAAAGCAGAAAACAGAAAACTAATCAAATCCTTAAAGACCAAAGGCAGCCAGGCAGGCCTGGCCTGACTTTTTCAGTGGTAGCCTCTGGCTACATCCACTTTTATTTTAGTAACCATTGTTAGCATGATTTATAACCTCAGCTCAGAGACTTTTGCTATTTAGATGTAACAAGATGCTTCACAGCTTTTATTTCCATTTCCTAATTTCCCTCTTGCTTCTGCTTTTTTTTTTTTTAAATTTTATTCTCTCTCATCTTTGCCTCGCTCTGCTCTCCAGGCAGTGCCCCCAGTGCCACAGCTGGGATGCCCTGAAGAACATCTGGAGCACTGCAAGGCCTTGTCAGCCCCCAGGTCCACAGAACTTGTTCAGGGTTAGGAACCTGCCCCAAAATCCATCTTGGAATTGTGGAATGGTTTGGGTTGGAGGGAACCTTAGAGCTCATCTTGTTCTACCCCATCACAGGGACACCTTCCCCTGTCCCAGGTGCTCCCAGCCCTGCCCAGCCTGGCCTTGGGCACTGCCAGGGATCCAGGGCAGCCCCAGCTGCTCTGGGCACCTGTGCCAGGGCCTGCCCACCCTCCCAGCCAGGAATTCCTTCCCAATATCCCATCCAGCTGCCCTCTGGCGCTGTGTGGGCACAGCTGGGGCTCTCCGTGGTGCTGCAGGATTTCTGTGCCAGCAGGAGGAGCCCAGCCCTGCAGGAATTGCCCTGCTGCTGTTGCCCAGGGTGGCTGTGTGTGACACCTGCCCTGTGCCAGGGACAGGATCAGAGCACACAGCAGCAGAAACCACCCTGAGCTCTCTGCACCACTTGTGGCTGCTGCTCCAAGCCTCCCTCCCACCTTGCTTCTGACAGAATATTGACTGGAAAGCAAGATCCCATTTCTGCTTAGCCTTGAGGGCAGCTGTTTGCAGAGTGGCAGTGCTACACAGGTTTGCTGTGTCGTGTGTCTGTGTAACACTGGATTTGGATCTTGTATTTAGCTGCCAGAAGTGACTGTGATGAAGTGGCAGAGATAAACTGATAGATTGGGTGCCAGAAAGATGTTGGGAATCAATCAGATAAACAGGGCAGAGAAGTTGCTTGCTGTTTTCTAGTGATAATAAACCAGTGGCCTGGCTCCTGGAATTTTTAAATGTAATTGCTGTGGTAATAATCTCTAAAAATAAGCAAGTAGGAAGAAAAAAAAAAAAAAAGTAGTGGCAGGTTTTTAATTATGTTTGAATCACTCTTTTTTTCTGGTAATGTGGTGTATGCCTCGAAGGAGAGGAAGGTACAGGGTGGAGGAAAAGCATCCTGGAATTGCCTGGATTCTGGTTCCAGGTGGGCCAGTTCCAGGTGTTTCTGAGCTGTTCCTTCCCTGCTAGGTGTCCATAAAGCAGTTTGTTCCCCTCCGTTTTGGAGGGTTTATTTCTGTTCCTGGCCAGTGCCCAAGGCACAGCAGGCACGGTTTGCAGTGAGTGGTGATAAACACACAGCCCCAGTCAGGGATCAGGAAAGGCTGCTCACAACATCCTCTGGCTGCAGGAGGCAAGGAGGACAAACCCCAGCCCTCAGGGCATGAAAAGGAATAGAAAAGGCTGCCTGAGCATCCCTGCTGGAGCCATAAAAAGGATTTTGCTGTGCTGTTCTCTGAGCGAGCATCACTGCCCAGCTTCTGTTGGGGAATTGTTTCAGTTCCCTGCCCTTCCCCAGCACTGGGGGCAGCCTGTGGGGCTGAGCCTTTCCTGCACATTGCCCCATTGCACCTGGGGCAGCTGGCTGCACAGCTGTGCTTGTCTCAGGTGGGTTTTGCTTGTTTGTTTCAGGTGGGTTTTGCTTGTTTGTTTCAGGTGGGTTTTGTTGTTCCAGGTGGGTTTTGTTGTTCCAGGTGGGTTTTGTTGTCTCAGGTGGGTTTTCATTGTTCCAGGTGGGTTTTGTTGTCTCAGATGGGTTTTTCTCTCTCCCCTGCAGCTCCTGCGAGAGCTGATCGAGCGCAAAACCACAGCCCTGGACCCCAACGACCAGGTGGCCATGGGCAGGTGAGTGAGGGGCTGGGACAGCCCTGTCCCTTCAGCACAGCTCAGTGCAGAGGGCACGGTGCCCAGTTCAGCTGGGAGGAGCCGTGGTGCCATTGTTCAGGAAATCCTCCTCTCCAGCAGAGGTTGTGATCACCCAGTCTGGCTTGAAGCTGTTTGTGATCCTCTGGAGGTATTTCCAGGTTTGGTCCAGGTGTTTCTGTCCCTCACTGGCACAAAAACTGCCTGCCCACTGCTGAAGTTTGGCTTTGGCTCTTTATGAACTCAGCTTTGCTGTTGTTTGAGCAGAATAATCCTTCTGTCATCAGTTCAAGCAATTCCTGTGTATCCCTCCTGTAAAAAAGGATTCTGTACAATGAAAATGCACAATGAATGCTCCCTGCATGCAGAACTAAAATATAATTTAATGCAGAGAAGCTCTTATTTCTCTGTTTATTTCTAGAGTTAGAAAGTAAAGAATCTTCCAAATGCCACTTCATGAGCAGTGTACATTGAAATAGCCACAGGCTCCAATTCAGGAAAGTGTAAAAGCCAAGGAAAGCTGGAGTTGGGCTCTTCCCTGAAACAATTTTGGGGGCTTCATCTATAGGGAGGGGAACAAAATACATCAAGAAATGTTTTGATGGTGAAACAACTTTTCTCCTTGTAAAATATCACCCAGATTTTAGTGCAATGTCAGATTTATTTTGTGTACGTCTGGAATATTATGGAAAGCTATTCACTATGATTTAACACGATATAGACAAAATTACATTTAAGTGGTGATTGCATTGTACATTTATCTGACTTTACAATAAAATAGATTACAGTAATTAAGATTATATTAAGATTGCAGTAATTGGATTTTGTTAGATTTTTTCCCTGATGTCGAGTTTCCATTGTATAAATCAGGTGAGATGACTCTCATTTCAGTTTAAAAAAATATTTATAACCAGGAGAAGTTTTTCCCTGCTGGAAACTTCTTTGACTTGAGGAAGTTGTGGTTGGGAAGTGGAGCTTTTAATGCAGTTGGGGATCAGAGAGTGTTTCTGGGAGTGTTGAGTGGCTCTGAGCTGTGCTCCTGCTGTTCTGCATTCCCCAGGCAGTGGTTGGCCATCCAGAAGTTACGGAGCAAAATAAAGAAGAAAGTGGACAGGAAAGCCAGCAAAGGGAGGAGAATCCGGTGAGTGACACCTGTGCAAGCACACACAAATGCTCATTTTGGAAAAGAAAAATCTGACAGCTCTGGATGTGTTTTAACCCAGTTGGCTTTGGGGGATCTGGGCTGATTTGTGGCTTGGAGGGCATTTCCTGCTGTGGGCAGCCAGGGGGGAATGCTGGTGTTCCTGG